TCAGAAGAAAGAATAATATTTCGAGATAGGGTTTCATAAATACAGTTTCGAATGGGAAAATTATAAAGCCTAACCTTGAGGGGTAGTTAACATGATGAGAGAATAGAACTAAAAATCGAAATAATTTTTGGGTCACCACCTGCAGTTGTAAAGTATTTGATTGCTACCAGTGTTTCAGTAATAGTCTTATTGTGTTCATTTCCGCCTTGCACTCACATCCATAACGCTGATCTGAAATGGGGCGGATGTCAGATAGCCAACAGATGTTTTCCAAATGATGAACTAGACTCGCACAGTTGCGGGTGGATTGTTAGAAGCAGTGACACCTGCTTGAGTACAAAGATTGAACAGAACACTTCCGGCTTATCATACAATCGGATTAGAATTGTATTTGGCAGAAAAATCAATACTGTTTTACAGGAAGGCAATGTTTTAAACCAATGTCAGCCATTACCCTCCAGTTGCCACAAAATGATATATATATATATATATATATTTGTTTGGTAACAGATCCTAGTGTGGATTTGAAACGTCACTATAAGTCGTTCACTACTCAGTGTTTGCCCCTTCTTAATACTTCAAATATATATATATATATATATGTATATATATATCCGTGTAACCTTTCTACGTTCATAGTTAGTGATTTATTGATTGTTAACCGACGAACGTCCGTTCAACCAGCCTGTAACACGATCAGCTGACTTGCTTCTTACGTAGTGCTGTTGGCCTATTTTGTGACAGCTGCCTAATGTAATGACACGCGGTAGTCATTGACGATTTATGGATGTTTACATTGAACTTAATGTAACTTGATGAACACAAGTTGTTATCTGTACCTGCAGTTTGACAAAATGGTACAGTTTATCAGCACACGAAACCTGAGGTGTACACAGAGGTACCCCTTTATCCGGCTTTCCAAAATTCACCTGGTTCTACTAATCGAAACTGACCACAGCTTTAAGTCAATTGGAAAACACAAGTCGGAGTTCTTAGTTTAAATATGTAGTGCACAAATGGGCATGTGTTCGACTCTCATCCACTAGCTGTTTGGAACACCTTTTCTGAAGAATAATCAAACTGTGGTCCCAACAAGCATTGAACCAACAGAATGCGGTAGGAGTTAAAAACAAACCATATACTTCCGGCAATTTTTGAAAATATCATAAATATTTAGATCTAGTCTGGTCTGGAACGAACAACAGCAACCAAGACAGAAAAGAAAATGCGCGAGCTGGACCCATATCTACTTGGTAGCACTCAAAATTGTCCCAAGCGGAAGATGCTTGAAATAACCGAACACGTTAAACAACAGTCGAGAGAGTGCTAGATCTTAAAGAGCTGGTTAATAGATTAGTCGTTAGGAGAAGGCAAGCACGCGTTGCATTTAGTTAGTTACTCGGGTGAGGAAAGTGGTACTGAATTCACACCGGGCATCCTGTAGGATGCACACTGAAAAGCGTGCTTCCAGAATCAACAAATGGAAAGGCACTGTTGCAGTGGGGACCATTTGGGAAGCCACACTACCGTTTAGAGGACCACGAATGTTTCCTCAGTGATTATTACAATTGAGGCCAAATACACCAATTCGGTGTACTTCTGCAGTGTCCGTAGTACTGATAGCATTGTTTATATCCTTGCAACGGCAGAATTAGTTGAACATACTTATGAGACAATAAACAATTTATCTCTTAGCTGAAAAATTTCTATCGGGGAATTATGATAAACCCTGAATGATAGTCGTTCAGATTAAGTGAATTTGCCAACATCATGCAAACGACTTCCAAAATTTGAGTCATATATGTGGAGATGGTTTGCATAGAGGAACATTTGCAATAGATTACAGAGAATCCCTTAAAAGCTAGCTAGTTTCCTATCCACGTGAGGTTTTGCCAACCTCTGGATTCCAATTTATGACTACAATACGTCTAACTGTCTATCTAATGTCCTGGCAAAACGATGGCTTCTGCAAATGCATTTGAACCACAATTATAATACTAGCCCCAGTTCTGGTTAGATAACGTCACTGAAAAGGATGGTGATGTAATAGAGATACTTGTTAATTTACATAAAATTTAATGTGACTCCAGATTACGTAAATAAGGAAAATGCACACTCAAATGTGAACTGCAGTGCAGTGTGCATTTTGTATGAACTGCAGAGGGTTTAGTGAATTACAGCCAAACTGAATGAATATTTGTTTACACGTAGTTGTCTTAAAGTGTCATGTTTTGCTACCCTGTTTAGAATCCAGCTAGCCGATCTTATGTTACAGAGGTGACCAAAGCGGCAAACAATTCTTGGTTTCTAATGGGGCTTACTGTTGATTACCCGCTGAGATGGTATGACAAATGTTCGAACCCCTACAGAATCCAATAAGTGGCACCCAGTAATACACACTAAGTCAGATTAATGAAGGTTTGACAGATAAATCGTTGTATTCTTTCAAAACATATGTGGCCAAATCGCCTGCTATTCATGTCGTGTATAAAGAAAAGTACTGAGCCCCAAAACTCAGTTCCCTATTTTTGAATGAAACTCATCCTTGATAGGCCAGTTGTCACAGGTATTCTTGTTGTTAATTGGTTTTTATGTTTCCCTCAGTTGTGTCTTTTATGGCAAAGTGGCGCCATAAAACGCATCTGGTCTAATGGATTCTAATGGGTCCTACTTAGTTAAAGCAATTATGCGGCTAACTGAGTGGTTCGCTTTCATTGAAGTTCGACCACCGCATTTTCCTCATTCCCATCCTACCGGTATAATATATATGTATATTCGTGCTTATTGTTGTCTTGGTACTGAAGAGGCAATACTGCGTGCCATCATTTCCCATTGTCCGACTTCTTACTGTTTTATTCAAACCCATGATTGGAACCAACTGTTTCAAATTCTCAAGAACTTTCATCGTGTAAAGTGCCATATGACAAGTACACTTCATTCAATGCGACTGCCTTATAAAATGTTATCATTTCTGTCATAAACTCACACTTCTCCTTGACGAGTTTGTTCTGGTTAGTAGATGGATTCGGGTCTATATGCTTGATCACCGAATCACTGCACGTCAGTTACGTTAAAGTCAAGTTGGATAATTAATCTATTGTTTAACGGCTGACAAGGGATATACGGTTTTGGTTGCAACAGATTAAACACCACTCAAGTGTTCTTCCATTTTTCATGCATACTTAAACTATTGGTTAGTGTGCTGCAGAAACGGTCTGTAAACTGTAGTTGGATCTTTTTACAGTTTATTGACAGTGCACCGCCGTGTAAACCCTGAAGGCTGAAACAAGACAAGGACGACTTTGAAACAGACGAGCTGAACACTACTATGGTAGCACCTTACTAGGTACAGTCGATTCACCAAACGCCACTGTGAGATCAACGATATATTGATTAACACGTTCACCTTATGAGCACCACAACATTCGGAGTGAATCCTTCGACATGATCAGGGCTGCAATCTGTTCCAAAACTACTCAGCACTCTGTTTTATGGTCAAAATTTGGACAGTTCAACTGGTGACACATCGAAACCAACATGTTCACCAAGTTTTGAGTTCTCTTGGAATCCTTGTAGGTTCTATTTCTTTTTGGAGATGAAAGTGTCTTTTGGAAATACGATTATTCTTCGGGTTTATTTTGAAACCGACCGCGTCAAAAGCGACTAGGTTCATGCAGGTTGCTATGACGGAATAGGAGCGAACAGTTAATAGTTTTCATGTACTTGCTTACTCAGTAAAAATTAGCAAATTGATGAGTATTAGGAAAGTTTGGTTTTTATATAGATTGAACATCACACAACTGATCGCTGCTGTCGCATTCCCATAGACTTCCCAGTCGGCCCATTTCGAAAAGAAGCACTAGACTCGAGTTTCGTTCCCATTTGAGCTCGTCAGTACTGCATATTCTCGCCACTGCCGGGATTAGAACTCCGACCACTCTGTTCATGAGGCAACCGTGATTACCACTGCGCCATTGACCTCACATCAGGCACGACCAAACTATCATGTGAACACTGAACCACTTTCGCTTGTGAGTAACGATCAGGTTCCTCGATCGTCTGGATGGGGACACAGTTACTATCCGTTAACTTCAATCGAGGACTTCTCGATTAGGACTTCTGTTCAAGTTGAACTCACAGATGTCATTGACTTGTTGAGCGGTCTTTGACTACTGATGAGTAGTGGGGGATTTTGATTTTCATATAGGTTGAACATCATTCACAATGCGACAACTGAGATCACTTGCGAGTGGTGTTCAATTCATATGAATTTAATAAACGTCAGGTCGCTGGAGGTATCAGTAGAACTGTGACAAAGGTAAAACTCGCGCGAGAATACTCCAACAAACTAGGCATCACATACCATTCAACTGGATGTATCAGATGAAAACTTGACTGCTCTTCTATAATTCTTAAAGTCTGTAGTTTTTTGTATGATCCGCCGATAGTTTTAATGGAATTTTGACAAATTTGCCTAGATAGCTCCTGTTTTTGCATCTGCAAATGATAGTTGATGCGTTTCTGCGCACGAATTGTTTTGTCAAAAAATATTCGTGGACATCACTCACAATTGATCACAGCCATCCCAATCCCATAGATTTATGGTGAGTTCCGTTGGATGAAAAAACTGTCGTCGAGCTTTGCTCTCATTAGAGCTCGTCAGTAGTGAATATCTATCTCATACCGCGACTGGAAATCTGGTCAGACTTTTACGCTACAACCATGTTGACCATAGTGCCATTAATCTCATGCTAGACTCGAGTGAACTGCATTCAGGAGCTCAACCAATTTCGCCTGTGAGTAATGCTCAGATTGCACGATCGCCTCTAGAGAAGACAGTAACTAGGCTATTAATTAAGAGTTTAAAAAAATGCGATCGGTGTGATCATCTGTGAGTGACTTTCCATCTATGTCAACAACAACTTGCCGCGGTACTACTGGCCGTTAGTAAAAAAAAATGATTATCCTACATTTGGAAGAGACTCGATTGCGAAAAATTTAGACTTTGGCTGGATTCGAACCAGCGACAGGAACATGTCCAAACGCAATAAATGCTCTAGCAGATGAGCTACGAAGCCAAGTTAAAAGCTCGGAAATTCCACCTTTGGATCTAACTACCGTGTCATATGGAGTCCACCAAATGATCCAGTCGAGTGACTGCCCAAGCAGGATTTCTCGATCAGTTCACGCTGGAATCCACAAACGCCACCGATGAGTATTAAGACTGAATTACTGATAAGTATTCGGGGCATGTTGTTTCTGTCGCTAGTTTGATTCTAGCCGAAGTCTAGATTCTTCGCAGTTGCTTCTGTTCCAAATTATCAAACCTGTCAAACTACTTATTAGCATCCCATATTTGTGAAGTCACCATTATTTTAACGTAACTGCTCGAATTGATAAGGTTGTTATCCCCATTTCGTCTTAATATGCCAATACAAATATCACTTTCGTCAATAATCCAATTTCTGTTTCACTCAGTGTTTTGTGCCTGCTGGATGGTTTCCTACGCTTAATCTTTCGAATGATAAGATCCACTGCAGAGATAGGCGCACCAGAATACTAGTCCTCTTGGAAGTTCAGCAACGTCCAGGCCATTGCATCAGTTCGATTGCTTATTGTCCATTGTTTTGTTCACTGGGCCGTGGTTATTCAATAGTGACCTTGTTGGAACACTAAAAGATCGTTGATGCGTGAACTCATCTCGGACGATAGTTGAGTAATCATATCTGAGTACTCGATTTTCTCTGCATGACACTACTTTTGGCTTCTTCCATAAAATAAAAGCTCCTCAGATTATCAAACCGTCGCCCACATATGATTGCCTGTTGGATGTATTGAGGAGTTTTCGTGTCAATCATGCCAGTGATAGAACAAAATGTCGGGATTATTTAAACAAGAATTCTTGTCTTCCTAGTAGACCTTGCTGTGCTCAACAGCGGACTATCATTACGCTCGAAATCCGCCGATCGCCTTCCTCTGGGCCTCCATAAAAGACAAAAACAGTTACTGCAGTTTGTCAATTTTCGGAACCAGTTGACTTGCAGGTGCTACTTACAAGATGGTCAGAACTTTACTGACGCAAGGTGACTATCGCCGCAACCTGGACTCAACTCAACATTTGTTGCGTGACAGCCCTTTTGCAGACATTTCTTACTGGAACCCTGTTCTCACTTGAAGTTGCCGCGTTTCTGATTACTCCACATCTACCAAACACTTTGGTGACCCTATAAATGTGGGGTACGCACAAGTAAAATCCCACTTTTCTCCACTGTTCAGTTGCTTGGCGAACATGCTATTTAGAGTGCTACCTTTCATCACCAGATAAAATAACATTACTGGAGTGTAAGAGTATGATCAGTTAGTTCATTCTCGTACGTTCAAATTCTTGCGCACTGATGATATCAATCCGTTTGGTGATTAATAGTCTGCAACTTAACTTCGGAACTCGGCGCACAACCAAATGCCAAAACCATCAACCCGAGCTATCAAGTGTGTCCCCAATCCCAACAATCACAAACCACATGTCTGTTGCAGGTTTAGTGTTTTTCTAAAGTAAATCGTCGAGCTTCCGTAGGCATTTCTGTTATCGGTACTGTTGGATAAATGTCGTTCGTAACCTTAACCAGCAACTGTCGGTTTGTTTGCATATTATTGGCCTTTGGACGAAGGTTAGAACAAAACCGGTCCCAGAAAACAACATGATCTGAATAATGGTGATTGCCCAAAAGTGAACAACTGCTTATGGTAACTCTGAATTGTTTATGAGTGATCCTCACACGGAATCCATCCAGGAATTAGTTGAACAAAACGATCTGTGTCCGCTCTGTTGTAAATATTTGTGTTTGAAATTGGTGTTCGATTAAAGAAGAGTGTGGGATGTGAATCTCCCACCAACGGACGATGTGTGTTCGAATAACAAGTAAACTACGCAGCAGAAATTACTGCTTAAAAAAGACACCAAGTTAATAACATCCACGTCATCTGCAAGTACATTTGTATCTGAGTACTACTGTAACGTGCGGTCAAAACTAGCAAGCGCGCACAGGTTAAATTTGAATTGCCTAACGGGGCGTGTTGATGTGTTGTCGACACCGTTTTAGTTTTTGTTTGTGTAAGTCGTGTGCTTGGCTTACTGCGCCTTTGGCTCAAGCTTGTTTTTTGTTGTTTCCTTATACACGACTGTTGTTGGAACCTCTGCTTCGGAAGAACGCTGTCTCCCGGTGTCTTCACGTTGCCCCACAGTTGGTGCGCAGGAGTAACAGACAACCAGAGTAAAGACGACCGGCTTTCATGTTATACTATTTAAACTTTTAGAGATGAAACGATGCAGAACAAAGAACATTCAAACCAACATTGAAATCAAACATAGAGTTCAAACTCATGCAACATCACCTGTTAATTAGTTTATTCGAAGTCAATAACTGTATGTAAAACATTTTTGAAACGACTTTCACAAACTGTTCAGTAACACTGATGCCAGTGATATTCAAAAAAATATCCCGTTTGTGCCAGATTTGTTGATTCTGTTAGGAGCTTCGTACAGTTATCAGTATCATCAGTATCATGCAATATACGCATTTTGGATTGAAGTGAATTTAAATCCTGTTTATTTTTTAGGAATCATGTTGTATTTTGCACTCATATTAAACTAACTTTACCATTCTTTTTGTCAGTTTTCGTATGTACCAACATACTGTTTGACCAGTTATGTCAACTTTTGTGTTATGGTGACCATCAGATAATCAATGTACTCTAGGTTGACGATTTTGACGAAAAAAACAAAAACTTGTCATACAAAGTGCGCAGATGTTAAAGCTTATTTAGTGTTTCAAAACTGAGAAAAAAATTCCCAGTCGCATCTAGATGACAGGCATTAGTTAGAAAGAATACCGGTTTTTATTCCGCTGGATGTTGGTGGAACCGACAAAAAAAATTGTATTAGAGCCGTTCTAACCAGTCACAGTAAGCCATCATTTACAAACCACCGCAGGATGTATTATCTCGTAGACTGTCAGTGAGCTTTGTTCAAGTCTGTCATAGTTCTTTTGAAGTTCTCCGGGATTGTCTGAATGCGTTTTTTGCTGTCCATAGTGGTTTTGGTTATGAACTATTTTCTGACAAACCGTTAGTGCATGATGGCCAACCAAAACATGCTTTTTTAGTGCATGACTTCTTTTTAATGTCAGTTCTTTTCTTCTGATACACAGAGTACTATCGTTAAGTTTTGGGTCATCACAACACAAATGCTAGAAGCTTACCATCTAAGGATCATCCTACACTCTTTGTAAGTTGACCACCAAAGTAAAAGTGGCCATTCTTTCATTCTGGAAACGAACTTATATCTGCCATATTTTACCTGCTATTGATTTCTTTCTTCCTTACAACTAACTTATTACAACAGCCTAAAATAATCAACTTTTTTTTAATAACAAAGGTGGTACTTACAATTGTACTGATTGTGCTATTATAAACCTCCAAACAATTTTCAAGGTGTATTGCCAATAATGTAATTCTTCAATGTCGTAAACTGCATAACATTGTGTCAACTGTTATAATACCATGTTATCCGACCAAACGTAACTGATCCATTGGATAACTGACAAGTGCGTACAGTGCACCGGTTTCAAAACCGTTATGACCCCATAATTCTGGTGAATCCCGAGAGGCTGCTTTGTTGAATTTTCTACCATAGCCTTACGAAACTAAAATGTCAACACCGGAAAGAAGTGCGTTTTTCAATTTTAGGTAGTCTAAATAATTCCAACCCGTATCTAATCACATCAAGAAAGGCCGATGTTTTGTCTGACTTGTTTAGTACAATCGCCTTCAGTAAATCATGCAGCAGTAAATGAATGTACGTGCTCAGGATGTGTTTATTTCTAGGAAGTCATCACTCAAGTATATGGAGATAGTTTTATGTCACAATGTGCGGTGGCTCCTCCAAGTAAATAAGATTGCCATAAAGGTTAGTAAACTCACTGTTTGTGACACGTTTAAAATTATTTTCTAATCCTCATCACCTCATTTCAAGATTTATCAACTCATGTATTTTTTCCATTTGCTATTATGTTTTCTTACGGATTCCATGAAACTTTTGAAGAAATACCCCGTAACCACAAACGGATCCTTAAAGTTTATGGCCTGATTTGGCGGTATCCCGTGTACATATTTTTTAGGGTTGATGGTGAATCGTACCTGAATGTAGCGAGTAATGACCTGACAACATTCGCCTTGACGACAATCAACGTGTTTTCTCTGAACTGGTCCACTCATCATCCAACACGATCTACGTACCGAAGCGGGCGACTCATCATCGATCCTTTATCTAAAGAGTATTTCATTTAATCCAGAGCCGAGTTCTCTTGAGCTCAGTGTGTGACTAAATGTATTACATGATGAATCCTTGTGTTATTCTGATTGTGGAACACACCTCGTTATCTTATAGTCTCGTTTTTATTACAACCATTTCAGATCTTAATTTACGGAGAGTTTTCGTCGATCAAAGAATACAAAGCGAGTGTTTACTTGGATTTAATCTCGCACAACCAATATCTTGATTCATGTGTCTCTTGATTCCACTTCCGCAACAGTCACCTATTTTCAAAATCGTGGTGTCAGATGGTTGCATGCCATTCCTTGATTAACTGTCTGCTTCCTGTGTGACTTTACTCCGTCATCTTTTTAAATCTGTGCGTTTTTTCAAATCCCTGTCTATCCATTTGTTCGATAATACAATAGCGAAATAGGAGATAAAAATCACAAATAAATTCAATATCATGAATCACGTCAGTGAACGAAAGATTTATGGTCTATTTATTAAATTTATTGCTTCGTTTTGTGAACGCTGATGTGTTTAAACTTTACGCCAGCCAAAGATTTACGCGACATGAGAAATTCGACCCACTAGCTTACGTAAGTTTCATTATTTTTGGTCGAAAAGTTGTGAACAAAATATGGTTTTAAAGTTTTATCGTTGGATTAGAAAATTTTCTTGGTTTTTACATCTTCGTTTTCTAACTTCACTGTAAATCATTCATTCATTGTTATTTTGACTATTTAAATTAGGAAGAATTTAATG